CCAGGATTATAGCCAACAGTCCTGTCTGGCTTTAAAACCTAAACTGATTGGGATCATATATTTAGAGCTGAAAGGTACTTTAGAAGTCACACAGACCAACCTCTGATTCTATATATTTTGCACATGAGTAAATCTGGGGCCAGGAAGAAGAAAGAACTTGTCCAAAGGCCCTTATCATTGGTTGGATTATTTGCTATCTAAGTAGTAGGGTTGGAATTCCAACTGAGGCCCTCTGATTCTGAATCCAGAATTCTTTTCACTGCCCCATGCTGCTTCATGATCTGTCTATAACTATATCTATTTCTCTCTCTAAGTATGTATACACACATATACCCATGATACATATTGATATGTAAGTATATGTTACATATAAATATATAAAGCACACACGCAACATACTTTGCTTGAAGCTTAAAATTAAGATCATGGCCACTGGCCCCATCACTTCCTGGCAAATAGAGGGAGATGAAATGGAAGCAGTGTCAGATTTTATATTCTTGGGCTCAAAGATCACTGCAGATGGTGACTGCAGCCATGAAATTAAAAGACGCTTGATCCTTGGAAGGAAAGCTATGGCAAATCTGGACAGCATACAAAAAAGCAGAGATGTCACATTGCCAACAAAGGTCTTTATTCTCAAAGCTATGGTTTTTCCAGAAGCAATGTATGGCTGTGAGAGATGGATTATAAGGAAAGGTGAGCACTAAAGAAACAATGCTTTTGAATTGTGGAGAAGACTTTTGAGAGGCCCTTGGACAGCAAAGAGGTTGAATCAGTCAATACTTAAAGAAATCAATTTAGGCTATTCACTGGAAGGTCAAATACTGAAGCTGAAGTTTAAATGCTTTGGCCATGTAATGAGAAGACAGGACTTATTGGAAAAGACCCTGATATTGGGAAAGATGGAAGGCAAAAGGAAAAGAGGATGGCAGGGGATGAGATGGATAGATAGAGTCATGGAAACAATGAACATGAACACACACAGACATCCAGATGTAGTGGAGGATAGAAGGGCCTGGCATGCTATGGTTCATGGGGTCGTGAAGAGCTGGACACAACTGAACAACAACACATGTATACTTCATTTGTATATACACATGCACAATTTGTCAAAAAGGGAAAATAACAAAATTAAACTCTTTTGGCTATAAAAAAAAAAGAAAGGATGAGCAGGTAGGCTTCAAAACAAACTTACGTGAACTGATTCTGAGTGAAGTGAGCAGAGCCAGGCAAACATTATATGCAGTAACAGCCACATTGTGTGATGATTAACTTTGATAGACTTAGCTCTTCTCAGCAAAACAATGATCCAAGACAACTCCAAAAGACTCACGATGGAAAGTGCCATCCACATTCACAGAAAGACTATGGAGTCCGAATGCAGGTCGAAGCACACTGTTTGCTCTCTCTTTGGTTGTTTCTTCTTTCTTGTGGTTTCTCCCATTGGTTCTAATTCTTCTTTACAACATGACTAATGTGAAAATATGTTTAATAGGAATGTCTATGTAGAGTCCATATAGACTGCATGACATCCTGGGGAGGGAGGGGGAGAAAATTTAGAACTCAAAATCTTATGGGAGTGAATATTGAAAACTAAAAATAGATCAATCAATAGATACACAGATAAAAAGAAAAAATAAGGTGAGACGATACATATAATTTTAGGGCTGTAGTCCTACATTAGTCCTTAGTCCTTAAAAGACTGAAAAAAAATGCTCTGAAAATTCTCTGAAAAAAATGAAAGAAAAAAATAAAAAAGAGAGGACTGTAAAATAAACATGTAATTTTTAAAGCTAGAAAATCAACAAATTAACCCAAAAAATCACAGAATAATGAATTTTGAGTACCAGAGAGAAAAAGATAAAATAGAAAACAATACAACTATAGGAAATTCCTATTGCTTCTAGTATAAAATCTGAGCACCAGTTTGGCATTTAAGGCCTCCCACAATCTGCCTCTTATCTGACTTTTTCAGTCTTGTTTCATACTAATCATCTTTTTGCATTTTGTTTTCCAGACTGATTGTCCTACCACTAGTTCCCTAAACCTGACATGTTACCTCCCAATTCCATGCTTTTTCACGGACCATGAATATAATGCTTTCTCCCCTCATTTTCCAATGCTCAGCTTAGGTTCTGTCTCCTGCAGGTTCAAACCCTGCAGTTGTTAAAGTACTTTCCTTCCTAAAATTATCCAATATTCATTTACCTATTGACATGATCATCTGCCCCTAGTAAAATGTATGTTCCTTCATGGTGAGGACAGTTTTACTTTTTTTTTTTTTAGTATTTCCAGAACATAGCATATTGCCTGACATACAGTAGGTATATAATTAATGCATAGCAAATGGCATTTAGTTGAGTCTTAGTTTCCATTATGAAACAACCAGCTGTTTGATCTTGGGCAATTCATTTGATGTCTTTTAATTTGTTTCCTCATCTGTAGCAACTGTCTTATTGGCCTCATGAGATTATTGTTGCTGAGGTAGGATCAGATAATGAATGTGCAGAAATTTTGAAAAATATTAAGTGCAAATAAATGTAAAGTTTTTGCCAGTCAAGGCTGACACTCCATAAAATACATGACGTGCCTTGTCAATTGTGTTTTGAGGTGGGTTCTTTTTCAAGTACCTCTTGGATCAAATGCCCTCTAAGTTCTTTCAAACTCTGAGTTTTTGTGATTCTGTGATGCTTATTACTAGGATCATACATTTGGAACTGGAAAGGGACCTCAGAGAACATTTATTCCAACTTTCTCATTATACAGATGAGAAAACTGAGGCATAGGAAAGTAAGAGGCGTGCCCCAAATCACAATGATGTGTAGCTGGGATTTGAACTTGGCTCCTCAGGTCACTGCTATTTCCCTGTACTGTACTCCCTCACTCCCTCTTCATACTAATAATGTGGTTTCACATATTTCATGTTTGCACATATGTACACATGGATAGTCATGACCAAAGAGTTCTTCATCTGGTGGTCAATGTGTTGGTGATGCACTCCTCTAGACAAGAATTACTAAGAGTGAGAAGGCTGGGGAAATTCAGATCTGCTCTGATGGAGAAAGTACCCACCCTACTGAAGTGTCATTGTAGACTGTCAAAACTGCTCAGCTAGGTAGTTTCATCAGCTGTAAATATCCCCTCCTTTGATGCAGACCACAATCCATCCATGTTTGCCTGTCTTTTGATCAATCTGTCAACAGGTAGGTATTATCCTAGTTACTAAAATATAAAACCCCAAATGAAGTGGTCTGCCTTCAGTACATTCTGTAAAGGGAAGCAATGTGCACATCCTGAATAACTCCTCCCCGTGTGCTTGCCTCACTTCCCCATAGCAAGACCCATCCACTGTTCTGAGGTACTTCTTTTCTTTGTCTCAATAAAGATGATGAAAACATGCATTGCCCATCCCTCAATCACTTTTGCCATTTTTTTCTTTATGTGTTTCTCCAATGACATCCTTTACTCCGCCTCTCCTTAGCATGTGTATATGGGACTGTATGACCATGCCACCATGTTCCTCTCCATTGTGCTTTATGTAACCCTCATTTCAATTCTCTGGCCACTGTCATGCTCTATGAGCCTGGCCTTAAAGCAGAAATATGTGGTGTTAAACAAAAAAATGGACCTCTGTTTCAAGAATTTTAGGATCTTTTAAAGAATATGGAATTTTCCTAAGGCAATTCAATCTGCAGCCCATCTCTTGTTCAATTTTGAACAAAAGCCTTTGTCCATTTGTAGCTTGGAAGTGTCAGTGGCTCTCGACCTTGTCTCCTTTGCAGACAAGGCCTGCAGTCTGTTTCCTCTACTTCTCTCTGAAAATGGTATGTTTCTGAATACAACGTCAAAATTTGGATAATAATGGGCAAGACCTACAGGCTTTCTAACAAACTATACATCATGTTCTGGACAACAGGCATTCATGTTAAGTGGACACAGCTAAAATTTGAACCTTACTCCTAAGTGAGCATGACTGAGGGTCAGTTACCTGGTACACATAAAGGAAAACTCAACAACTTTTGTTAAAATGTAGACAAGTTCAAGACACTCTCATGAAGGAAGAGAAGTCATTTCCTTAAGACAAGTCCATCATTTCCATACCTAAACATTTTCTTTTTCCTTGCAATCAACCTACTGGGGAAGGAGATTTTAGAAATAAGGACGTCTGAAAGGCAGTAGGAAGACAAGCAACCCCAATTTGTGGGAAAATATATACAGTAAAGGGGTGCCACACTTATGTAGTTATATATGGGAGAGAAGAGAGACAAAGAGAGAAAGACAGAGACAGAGAGACAGAGATAGAGAGACAGATTATAATTAAGGAATGATGATCATAGACCTTGAGATGGTAGGGAACTCAGAAGCCATCTAGTCCTATGTATAGGTATATGTACATGTGTAGCATGTATGTGTGTGAGTATAATTTATGCCTTCATTCAAACCTAGATGAAGCAGCTGCCTAGAGTCGGTGCTAGGTTTGATGGGGGTGGGGTGGGGAACAAATATGGAGGAGACAAGGTCTTCTCCCCTACCTCAAACTCCCTCAGGGAGCAGTCACATGCTGGGTGTATTCAGGAGTCCAAACTTAGATAAGGGTTCCTATTATCTCCGACCTAGGTGGTTGGCAAGTTAGAGGTGCTCTGTTCTTGGGTGGGAGGAGAGAGAGGCTAACTGCAAGGGTGAATGGACAAGGGCTGAGGATGGCATTATTTCTTCTCGTCTCCTCCTTCTTTCCCTCCTCTCTCCCTCGCTGTTTCTCTCTCTCCCAGGTGGCTGAGGCAATTCCGCAGTGGTGGATCAGCTCCTGGGAGCAATGATGTCACAGCTCCATCATCAGCACCAGCAAGGGCAGCTGTGAGCTCTAGCCCTGAAAAGCCTCCTCCCATCCATCCCTGCAAGCTGACGACGGCCGGGCTCGCCTGCTCGGCGCAGCCAACCAGCGGGCAGGCAGGCGGGGAGGGGGGCCGGCGGGCAGGCAGGGAGGGGGCCTGGCTGGCAGGCAGGGCGGGAGGGGGAGCGGTGAGCAGTGAACCTGCAGAGAGACAGTCACGAGAAGGAAGCAGGCGTCTAGGAAGAGCAGAAGAAAACGCAGCCCGGCCCTAGCGCCATCGTCGGGAGCTGTCCCCGATGCCAGCCGCCAAGGATCCAGGCGTGAGCGCCAGAACCCAGTGACCCGCAGCGGGCGGTAAGCACAGAAGCGGCCCGCCCTGGTAGATTGCGGTGGATGTATGCGTGTGTGTGTGTGTGTGTGTGCGCGCGCGCGCGCGTTGTGTGTTAAGGGTGCGGGTCTCCCTGCATCTCTGAAGGGTCCGGGGTGGGGGCCCTCGCCTTTTTGCCATCCCCCTCCCCAGCTCCCAGAAGCAGCTTAGGGCAACCTTGGTGGGGGCAGGGGGTAGGCATCTCCCTTCGACACGTCAGGGCAGCGGGGCTTCTGCATAGCACTTAGCTCTCATCCCCCGGGCATCCTTTGGAAAGAAGCTCGCCCAGCCGACACTGTGCGTTTGCCTCCCAGTCCCTCGGGCCCTCTGTGCCTCTCTCCCCGCCCCCAGCCTGCACTTGGCTCTGTTTCAGGGCAGAACAATGAGGCAGATTCACGGGGATCGGGGCCTTTGTGCCCAAGTCCTGAATGGGGGCGGAGGGGGAAGGGAAAAACAACACTTTTTCTATTAACATTACTGCCTGCCTGCCCATCCCCACAACCATCACCATGCCGCATCATGTGGGCAAGAGAGGGAGGCAGGAGAGGACCCAAATATCCCCAACCCCCAACCAGCAGAAAAACATCCCTGAGGATATAGGGCTGTGGCAGGGAGTGGTTATGGGGGAGGGGGCAGATGGGTCCATGGATGGTTGGCGATCGGCGTCACCACGCCTAGTCTGACAGGTCTCTGCCTAACCTTTGCAGCAGGCGGGAGGGGTCTGGAAAGTGGGGAGTTAGCAATGGGGATGGAGACGGAGATGCGGGTGGTGTTGGTAGTGATGGAGATCAGGGAGGGAGGAGGAAGGATGAGAAAAGGACTCTCTAGGGATGAAGACACAGGAGCTGATGTGGAATAAAAACAGCCAGGGAGAGGCTGGAGCTGGGGGAAGTCTGCCCATGGAGTGAATGTTGGAGGGGGCAGGAGGAGAGGTGAAATTGCTTCTCTGGTAAATAATGAATATTGCTCCTTGCTCATTACCCAAGATGAAATCGATTGGCCTTCCTGGCTTATATCCCACCACTCTGGGTTAGGTGAGCTTTGCATCCTGTCCACAAAACATTTTTTTTTAAATGATGAGGATCTTTAGGGCCACTCTAGCAATGGAGTGAGGTTTGGGTTTATTTCTAAATGACCCTAAATGCTGCCTTCTGCCCTCCCCATTTAAGCCCTGTCTTCCTGCCCTTCATCATTTTCCTTGCTTTCACAGCACGGCTCACCCTTTCCATCCTCCCTCTTCAACCCCCACACCACTCCATCCCCCTGGAGGTTAGCCATTGGCATACATCCTCAGTAAGAGGAACTGGGCTTCTTTGCAGCAAGAAACAGGCTGGGCTAGGAAATCTAAACAGGGAAAATGGAAAGGCAGCCCCACTCCCCCACCCTCATGTTCTCTGCACTATGTGCAAGACAGACAGTGATGAGAATGCCGAGTCATAGGGCCTAGGAAAGGGGCTACTTGGCTCAGGGCTGAAACACTCCCTGCTGGCCTGCCAACCACCCACCATCCCAATCCCAGCCCCATAGGATTCCTAAAGTCAATTTCTTCTGAAAATACAATTTCAGAAAATGAAATAGAATACAGAAGATGCATTCAGAATATCCAGCTGTTTGGACTGGGTTATATCCACCCTAAATGTCTGTATTCTCCAGGTGGTTTGCCTAGGATTACAGAAAGAGGGGGCAGCCGTGATCATGGATTTTGCAGGGAGAGATTTAACTAGAGGCTTTAGCAAACATATTAAAGGAGCCCCTTGATGGGGAGGGGAGTAGGGTGGATTCAGAATCTCTCTAAGCAATGGGCTCCAATCCATTCTTAGGCACAGAAAGGGATAGTGCCTGCAAAGGGAGACAAGGCTGAGGGTGGTGATTGCAGGATGACAACAGATTCAAAGGAAGCAACTTGCTTAAAAAATAGAAACTAGGGATTGAAATGGGGAAAAGGAGAATCTTGGTTTGGGCCTTAAAATTGTGCTTGAGGGTCAGCCATTTTGCTGGAGGCTGCACAGTATCATTTCTTGTATGAAGGGGCAGATTACCCAGCTTGGCGTTTCTGCTTTATTCTCTCTCTCTCTCTCTCTCTCTCTCTCTCTCTCTCTCTCTCTCTCTCTCTCTCTCTCCTCTCTCTCTCTCTTCTCTCCCTCTCTTCTCTCTCTCTCTCTCTCTCTCTCTCTCTCTCTCTCTCTCTCTCTCTCTCTCTCTCTCTTCTCTCTCTCTCTCTCTCCTCTCTCTCTCTCTTCTCTCCCTCCCTCTCTCTCTCTCTCTCTCTCTCTCTCTCTCTCTCTCTCTCTCTCTCTCTCTCTCTCTCTCTCTCTCTCCCCTCTCTCTCCTTTCTTCCTCCCTCCCTCCTGTATGCCTGTCTCTGTCTGTCTTTCCATTGGGAGTGTTTGCCAGCGGTTTTCTGTGGGACAGGGATGCCGTAAACGATGACATGTGAGCAGCTTGACGATCAGCTCTAATCCTCTTGAGAGCTTCAGCTGAGTGAGGAGTGTCATGGATGAGCCCCACTGATATTCCTGGTGCCCCAGCTCAACCTATCTCCTCTGACCTTCTAGACAAATGAAAACTCCCCTGAACGACTGTGTTTGCCCCCTCTTCTGAGGACTGTGAGAAACCATGAGAATAGAAAGCATGGGAGAGGGAATATGGTCTGGGTGGTTAGTGATGGGGTAGTGTGCATCTCTTACCCAGTGACAAATATGGCCAGCTCCTAATTCCTGACACAGTGACAAACCCCAACTTGCCTTGACTCCTAGATCTCTTAGACATTGGAAAGGACCTTGAGAGGTTATCTTGGTCCATCCCTCTACCTTCAGCCTTATGCCACCTGAGCTTCATCAGAGAGATGAAAATCTACATGCATAACCCTTGGCTAAAACAGGGAACTCCTTACCATGGATGGCCTTGGAGGCCGGGGAAGCTGACATTTTTCCCTGGGCTAAGGGATCTCTCTTGGTCTTCTTCCCTTCAGTCAGCTGACTGTGCACAAATGGACTGCAGAACTAGCCCATTTAGAGCGGGGGTGAAGAGAGACACACAGCAGAGAAACAACCCTTAATACGAGGCTGTGACTAGCCAGGGAAAGATCTGCCCCACATGTCCATGGGCCCACTAGCAGCTGATTGCCCCCTCAGCCTAGTGGCAGTCCTTCCTTCGATTCCCCCCATCAGGACAGTGGTTTCAAATATGAGCAGATAAAAAGAAAAGAATAGAGGTAGGCTGGTTTGGAGGACTTATAATCCAGTGGTCTGGGTTCAGAACCTGCTTATGACAGTTTTTACCTGTGGGACCTTAGCCAAGTGGCTTCTCTGTTATCTCCCCTGTAAATGTGAGGGGGGTGGTGTAGACTAGATATTCTTTGAAGCACCTTCCAACCCCTAGGTCTATAACCTAATAAGCATCTAAGACTTCAGGTGGGAATGTGTAGGACACCCTAGTACTCACAGAGCTACAACCCAGGATGCTGAACTCCATCAAGAGACCCATCACACTCCCCCCACCCCTTCTCTTCAGAAAAAATGTTAGGGTATGTTTCATGGATACAAGGCACAGATTTGAATCCTGCCCCTGAGACTTAATAATTGTAGGACCATGGACAAATTACTTAACCTCCCTGAACCTCAGAATCTTCATCTACAAAATTGGCAAAATAGTATTTGTCAGATCTGTTTTATGAGATTTCTTTGAAGATCAAATGAAATAACAGATGGAAAGGCCCTTTTGGACCTTCAGGGCTATTGAAATATCAGCCATGGTTATTCTGTGGGTGGTTGTTGTTGTTAGACCCAGAGGAGGCAATGGTGGGAAAATACACTGCCTTGGGAGCTGGAGGAGCTGGGTACATTTCTGGGGCTGGCAGTTACTGTGAGACCTTGGGCCTCAGATGCTTGCTTTGTAAAATGAAAGAGCTGGGGAAAATGGTGGCCAACTTCAGAGGTGGGGTTCTAACTCTAGATCTGTCTTCTCCCGAAGCTTACTGCTTCCCAGAGGGCTGAATTCTCATGGCATGAATTCCTCTAAACCCGGCCAGCCATCCAGTACTTACCATCATCTCTCCCTGTATGCCAAGGCCAGCTGCTGACTTTGTTTGAGTACCTACAGGGCCATCTTCTTCCTCTGGGTTTTCCCTGGTAGAAGAGATGAGCCAGGCATCTAATGGCAATCATTAGATGAACCACTCAACAAACATTTCCTAAGCACTGGTGATATCAAAACAAAAATGATACAGTCCTTGCCCTTGAGGAGCTTATGTTCTCTCCAGGAAGACAACATGTACATTTAAAATGTATGCGAAAATATATATTACACAATTAAATACAGAGCAAATTGGAGAGAGGAAAGATGGACATTAGCAGCTAGAGAGCTCAGAAAACACTTTGTGATCGATTTCAAATGAAGAAAACTCATTTTATAAATAAGTAAACTGAGGTCCAGAAGGCTCTGGCATGCCAGTGGAGGCTACAAGAAAAACAGAAGGCAAGGAAGGAAAGCTCTTCTCCAATATTCTCCCTTTCCCACTGATCCGGCCTGGCTTTGGGAGTGACAAGCTCTGTTTCTGTAATTCCAAATCCTCGGAGGGTCACATAGTAAATAAGCAGACTGAAGGCTCAGTGCCCAGTGCCCAGTGCTGTAAGAAGCACTCCTGGGTTCAGACATGTTGAGTGGCATTTGAGAAAGTCCTCCGGCCATTAAGGATTTACTGATGAAGGGATGAGGCGTAGTACACCCTGGGCCTCCTAGCACTGAGTCCCTTCAGTTCTGGGTAATCGAGTACTTCTCCTTAGTCGTCAGAGGAACACTTTAATGTCGTTTCAGGTCTGACTTAGCTTCTGGTAGTGTCTCCACATCATTCCTTGGGGGAGGAGGGTGGTGGTCAATAGAGCTCGGCCCCTCCCAGAACAAGGGATCTTCCCCTTCCTCCAAGGCTTGTTTCTGCAGGGAATATCACTGAGAAAGAGCATTCATCAAATGCTTCTCTCTCCTGGCT